AGTTATGCCAAGCATCCGTACAGTGCTAAGTGTAAATATTCTTGATGGATCCACTGTGACACTGCTGATTGACATGTATACCTGACATGTAGGCATAGAGATGTACTTTCCTCATGCTACCTGATAATGGACCTGCTTTATCTGTGTTGGGCTTTAACTGTTATACTTGAAAGCATGCCTAAATTACTGAAATGTGAACAAGCTGAATTGATATTATTGAGCTACTATTTCTACGGTTTATCCTTTATATTCTAAACTGTTATCGGTTATTAGTATTGGTATTGGATTGTTGTTTTGAGCTCATCACTACTTTCAACCCAAGGTTAACATTGTTACTTATTAAGTGCATTGGGTCATTTGTTCTCATACTACACTCTACACCTCGTGTGCAGATCCAGGTACATCTGGCGGAGGTGATTTTCAAACTTGAGTTATGCCAGCTTTTGGGAGACTACGAGGTAGCTGCCATATCATCTGCAGCCCTTGAAGTTCTCTTCATGTTATCTTTATCTTTACTGTTCTTATATTTAGACAGTTGTATTAGAGGATTTTGCTTGTATCTTGTTATTCAGTAGTGCTCGTGTACTCGTTGACACCAGATTTTGAGGTTGGTTGTAATGGCGTTTTGGTTTTATTCTCAGATAATTTATGGTATTCTTCCGTTATTGAGTTATTAGACCATGTTATTTCATTTTTATTGATATCATGTGACTGATGGCTTACCTAGTGGATTGGATTAGGTGCCATCATGGCTTGTGGATTTTGGATTGTGACAATAATAAATTTTGAAAAAGGATTAAAAATATCATTCATTATCCTTCGAAATTCGGAAGGAGCATTTTTTCAATCAAATGGCATTACATTCCATTATATTGCCCAAATGGTACAGTAAAAGCAATTTTATACCGCTCATTGGGATCTATTTGAATTTGCCAAAATTCTAATTTTAAATTAAATTTTGAAAAGATAGTTGCAACATAAAGTCACTGAATTAAATCCTTTTGTTTGGAATGGGATATCTAATCTAGCGGAGTGCTTTGTTCAATGGTTTATAATTTATGACTAATCGAGGGACACCTCGTTCAATCTCTATATTTTTATTGACGTAAAAGGAAGCACAACTCCAAGGGGATTTGCTTGGAGAGATGATGCGTTTATCAAGAAGATCATTGATTTCTTTTTGATAATGAATATTAGCTCGCGATTCATTTGGATAGGACGAGCTTTTGTGGAGATGTTGTTTTCATCAAAGTCAGGTTCGTAAGGAAGCCTAACAATGTGTTTCTTGAGATTCCAAAAGGTTGTAGGTAAATCAACACAAAGTTTTTCCTGGATTTTGGTTTCTAAAGTTATTATTTTGGATTGGAGAGAAGAATCTTGAAGTTGTTGTTGTAATCTCTGGAATGCAATTTCTTCTGTGAGAAAGTTGATATGCGTTTCTTTACTTTTTATGGTCGGAGGTTTATCAAAGGGAAGAAAAGGTTCTACTTCCTATACGTTCGATTAGAATCTGTTCGTTGGTTACCATGAAAGGTATGAGCTCCTCGATGAAGGGAGTACCCAATATAACTGGATTAGTAAGGTCTTTTACTAATAGAAAGGAACTTGAGGCTGACAAAGATGAATTTTCTAAAGAGGTTCTGACTTCAACATTGGAGAGTTTGAAGTTGATTCCTAGTTTTTTGCCACTGGCAGCTCTACTCTTTGGATTTTTCAAAGAATTTGGTTGGAATGAGTCATTTTTGTATGCAGTTAAGATATGCACCTGCATCAATAAGGCAACGATATCTAAGGTAAAGGATTTACTGGCAATTAGGGTAATTCTCATATGCCATTTCCGTATGAAAATTCTGGAGAGGTGGTTGATGAAAACTTCTTGGTCAATTGGCTTGGTTTCAGTTTGTTTGGGCTCTTCAAATTTGGTAGAGAGTTGTTGGAAAATCAGATGATCTATCTCTTGTCTAGCCTTAATTTCCCGAATTTCTTCCTTAAGGAGTGCTATCTCAGTTTGGAGATCTTGGATATTTACTACCTTACGTTTCTGGGGAGGGAATCTACTGAGGATATCAGTAATATTATAGGTATTCACAACTTGAGGATAATTGGAAAAGACACTATAGAAAGATGTAGAATGTTTATTTATAGTTCGTTTGAACTGCTCAAGATAATCCTTCTTTTGTTCAGAGTCTTGAAGGTTGCTTATTATCTAAAGAAGAAGATCATGTTCTTTGGAGAGAACATTAATCTCAGGTTGGCTATTTTGGTCTTCTTGACTAGACTGAGATAAAGATGATTCTGTATCATCTTCTTCGAGTTGGTTGAATTATTGTTCAAGTTCATCATCAGCAATATTAGAAGTGTCACTATCTTCTAATAGAAGTTGCTCAATCTGGTTAAGAATGGACTTATCTAAATCAAGGCTTCTAACTTTGTTAGACAACTTGCAGTACTTGGCGATATACCCTAGTTTGTGGCACTTGAAACATTTGCCAGAATTGGGAGTTTGGAAAGTTGATGTTCTAGGTTTACTGTGAATGGTTTTGGATTTAAAGGGAAAAAGTTTAGTCTTCCTAAACTTGGGTGCAGAAGATCTATGTTTTGAAATCTCTTTATCTCTAGGTGTTCGCCTCTTATGAGGCCTTTTATTACAAGGGGGTAAGCCAAATTGTTCACAGAAACTACCTAGATATCGGCGAGTTTGTATTCTATCTTTGGCTAATTGTCTCAATATCTTATCATGTCGACAGATTTTGAGAGCAACATGTTGAATGAGATTGGTAAGTTGGCCATAGGTGATTTGTTCTTAAGGAATAATATCACTAGTATATTGATTTTGGAGTTCCTCTTTGACTAAATCTCTAAGAGACTTAGGTAGACTATCTAGGAATTTTTCTTTCCAGTACGGGAGGTTACCATCTGGTTTTTCGTAGATTCGGGTAAGAAAGAAATCTTTATACTATTTGAAATCAGAAAGGGTTTTACACTTAAGGTTGTTAAGTATCTCAGAAGATATTTCCCTAAAGATACCCGGTGTTTTTAGACTTGTGTGGGTCCTTTGGTTTGGAGCCTCGAGGGCTCGGATGAGTTTCGGACATGTTTCGAAATGGATTTTAACTGAAATGAACTGCTGGTGCTGCTTGTGCTCAGGTATCATGACTGCGAGCGCCAGCATCGCAATTGCGAATATGACAGTGGGGGCTCAAATGTCGCAATTGCGACTACCCCTTCGCATTTGCGAAGTTTGATGGCTTTTGACTTAGTTCGCATTTGCGAACATTTGTTCGCTTTTGCGAGGTACACAGCTTCGCAATTATGAAGCCTCTTGTCGCAATTACGATATTGAAGGAGGTTGTCAGGATTCGCAAATGCGATCCCTGGTCCGTAATTGCAAGGGTTCGCATCGCAAATACGACAACTGCAGCTGGTACAAAGGGCTGGGGGACGAGATTTTCAACACATTCTCTCATTTTAGAACCCTAGCCTCGGTAAAAGGCGATTTGGAGAGGAGATTTTCTTCTATAAGCTTTGGGTAAGTGATTCTAATCATATTCCATCAATATATCTTAGATTTCAACATCAAAATCATGTGAATCAAAGTGAATTCTTGTGAAACTTTGTCAAGTTTTTTGAAAAATAAGAATTTGAGTTTTGAGAATTATTTTGGAAGTTTAAAGAAATTAATTTGTTCTTTGTGAAGTTTAAAGACTCATAGTAAATATTTTGAAGATCTTTTCTTTTGTCTCCTTAAAAATTTTGAAAAAACAAGTAAATGTTTTCTTGTGAATAAAAATTTGCTCGAAATTTATCTTTATCAATTTGAAAATATTTTTTCAAAATACCTAATTCAGCACCTAGGGATGAGTAAGTGGGAGATTAAGGTTGTTCATAATTAACTTCTGTTGGAGCGGCTGTTTCTACGGAATATTTGGCTTGTGGGATCCTAGAATCAAAATTAATAGTTTCGATCCTAGAAGGAAATGAAGTTCTTAAATGTCTAGCAGATTGAATTTCAGATTGTGCAGAAGAAAAGATAGAGACTCTTTGACTAAGGGATCTCTCGAAAAAAATGGACACAGATCCGCTAGAATATTGTTGGATCTGAGAGACCGTAGTATTTTCCGGATTCTTAGCCTGAGTAGCATCTTGGAACAACTACTTTTGTGGTAGAGAAACTTAGCTCCAAGAAATAGATTTTGATATTGACAGATGAGATCTTTATAGGTCTATTTGGAAGAGAACATTTTCACCTTTATGGAGGGTTTTCATGGCTCCAATATTAAAGGTTGAACTCATGGCCTTATACAATACTCTATAAATAATGACTACCGGAAGAGATCCAGTTTTGATTTTATAATTCGCTATTTTGACATTGCGTGTTAAGGAATCTAAGATATTTCTATCTCTGAGAGAAAATAAAAAATTAGGAAAATAATCAAAATTAATTGGACCACTGCAAAGGCTGGTTTCTACCATTCCTAGGAGGAAATCATTGAAGTCTAGAAATCTAGAATTTCTAAGACAGAAGAGCTAGACCTTTTCTGGACAGAGGTCTAACTGCAATTTTTACTAAACCAAAATGGAGATAGTTATTTATCTGTAAAAATTAAGACGTGAATTTACTTATGTACAAATTAGGAAGTCAATGAATGAAAGTTAAAGTTACAATTATTACTCAAACAAGCGTTTGGTTATTTAATGGGATAAATATCGATTTTTTTCATCATATGCTCTTTAATACAAAAATGGCCGATCATGAAATAACAATAAGTTTTATAAGATATTTTTCACAAAATTCTCAAAATATAATAAAGCATATGAGGACTTATGTAGGATATAATTTCTTCCTTTATTAAGCTAGCGAAATAGGATAAATATTTATCAAGTTTAGAGCTAAATAGTTTTTTCTTAAAGAATAAAAAATATACCCTAACACTAGTAAAAAAATAAAAATTAAAAGGGTAAAACGGAGGAAGGAAAATGGAAGAAGATAGACCGTGGAAGAAGATGGACTGATATAGAGTATAATAATAGTAAACGAGCAGACAATCGAAATATCCTCTCCACTGTCCTTAAGTCTTGCAAATCTTCTGATACTTCCTTTATTAACAGTCACACACAAAAGAAAAAAGAGAACAAACACACACTAAAGCTTCTTACTCCTCAAAACCCTAGATCTCTTTATTTTTTTATGGCTCTGGAAGAAGAAGATTCCCACAGTTCATCGTCTGCATCTCTCAGTTTAAATCAGGACTGTCCATTTGAATCCTCCTCTTCTTCTTCTAATAATAATAGTACAAGCAAGCTTAACGCTCAGGCTCCTGCTTTCGTGCCCCGAATCTCGGCGCCGGGGCGGGTGTACGCCACGCGCCTTCATCAGATCAACGTTACTCACGTCGTCCCTGTAGTACAAAATCAGTTCATTTACGCGCCTCAGCAGTCTCCTCCGTCGCCTTACTATGGCGGTGTTGCTCGAGGATTTGTTGATCAAGAGGTTGCTGCTGCTGATTCGAATAATTCAGCTAAGAATGGAGGGCTAACTGAAGAAGCTGCTCAGAAGATCGTCAATCAGGTATTCATAAGTGTTATTCTGTAATTAATACTCAAATACTTTTTTTGTTGTTTATTGCAAATGAAGAGTGGATTTGAAGGCATCTATTTTCATATTGCTGTTCAGTTATTACCTGTAATTTGATACAACTAATCAAGTTGATTCCACAACTAGCGTATTTCTACTTATCAAAAAGATAAAAGGTTCCTTTTGGTGCAAACCTACTTTACAAAAGCCTTAAGAATAGAACCATCTGTTTGTTAGCGTTTTGGCGCAGACCTACTTTTGTAGATGATGCATACGACATATAAATCTGCTCAGTGCCTTGCACAATATCTAATGCTTCATCAGCATTTTCTTAGTGCTGTTTCTCAATCAATAAAATGATTACCCTTATCAAAAGAAAAAATTGTTTACCTTCTTACCACCCTTAAAAAAAGATCAATTGTACTATTTGACATTTTCCTTAGGAACCTACTATGTATTGGTCTTGGTTGGTTGATGTGTGCCGCGGTAATGAACACAGGAAAGTCATCATAAATAATTTTATTGGAAATGGATTGTTGTGTTCTTAATTAGGGAGTATGTGAATCTTTTACCAATGGATATATGTCAATTTAGTGAATCAGAACTATGTGATGAAATTAAATACTATACTTCTGTCTTATCTGTTGATGTAAGAGGAAGTTTTAGTGTCGGAAAAGAAGTGTTCACTGGAGAGAACAAAAGCATGTGTTGATGAGTGAGAAAGATCTAAAATTTGCTGGAAGTTAGACTTAGAAGCTTTTCAAATTTGTTTGGGATAAGCTGCTTAAAAATAAATGCCATGAAAAGTTTCAAGTACTTGTAAAAAGCATGAACATTTTTTTGGAATATATACTTGCAGCTTTTCAAATTTGTTTGGAAAGAACCGCTGGAAGCTTAAAATTGTTCAATGACATTTTTAAAATTTTCCAATTATTTGTAAAATTTGAAAAGCTATGATCAGCATTCTTCCTTTAACAATTAAAAAAATTCTAAAAGCTATGAAAATCACTTTTCTTTCTCTAATCAGCTAATTCAGGTATATTCTTGTTTTCTATAGGTGGAGTTCTACTTCAGTGATTTAAATTTGGCAACGACTGATAATTTGATACGGCATATGATCAAGGATCCCGAAGCATATGGTGAGTGTTCTTATTCCCTGCTTGACTAATCTTGTTTTGATTGATATTTTGAAGTTAATATTTCTTCATGATCTTCCTTGTTTGTACTTTGCTACAGTACCAATATCTGTGGTTGCATCATTCAAGAAGATTAAAGCTCTAATAGGTAGTCATGCCCAGCTTGCCGAAGTTCTGCGGAGCTCAATAAATCTTGTCAGTTCTCTTTTCATCTCCTCACCATCCTCATCTCCACCATTAAAATCACTCTTTGTGCTTCCCCTGTGCAAGATCCTGCAGTCATTGCTATCTTGCAATTTTTTTCTTTCTGATGTTCATTTTGAAGATTTTCTTATTTGACATTTCTGCTTTTAGGTAGTTAGTGAAGATGGAAAGAAAGTTAAACGGCAAAATCCTCTGACTGAAGCTGCCCTAGAAGAGTTGCAAGTAAGTTTGATTCCTATAGCAGTAGTGGTTTACAACAAGGACAATTTATGAATGCATGAAGCATTTCATTTTTCTATCTACTGGTTCATCTTTTCTGTCAGTAGGCTTTGTTTTATTATTGGCTGGTTAATCTTTTGATCTGTTGCTTATTTTCATTTTTAGTCTCGCATAGTGGTTGCTGAGAATTTGCCTGAGGACCACTGCCACCAGAACCTCATGAAGATTTTCTCAGCGGTTGGAAGGTACACTTGTTTTGATGTAGCTGTATCCAGAATAGGCTGAAAATTTTGGCCAACAAATATTCAGCCTTTTTAAGACTCTGCATAATGAATTGTGTCAGGGTAAAAATGATACGCACCTGCCACCCTCAGCCTTCAAATGGTGGGGCTTCTTCAGCATCTAGATCAGTAAAGTCAGACAGCACCTTGTATAGTAACAAGGTAAACATCAGACAGTTTGATTATCAATAACTAGTTTATGCATAAGTATGACGTTTTGAAACTGCTGTCACCTGATACAAAGAAAAATGACATTTTGAAACTGCTTTCAGAATTGGAGTAAGAAATGATGGTAATGAGTTGTTGAAGTTCTGATTTGGGAGCTAAAATTAGATAATGTACACTGCTGGTACAAAGTAACTATATCCACAAAAGAAATGCAAAGTAACTTACTCAAGTGGAACCGACAAAATTGTCTACTGCTACCAAAAGAATCTCTTGAGAAGGAACAACATTTTCTGTCTATATTGGTATTTTAAAATACAGTTGTTTGTTACTAGAACTTGAATTTAATACCTCAATGCAGTTGCACGTATTTGTGGAGTACGAGTCTGTTGAATTGGCTGAGAAGGCGGTAAGTGAATATTAGTGTATTTTTTTAATTACACCTTGTATATCTCAATCTCTGACATCCTTTTTCACTTTGCAACATGATTTTATAGGTTCTTGAGCTAAATGATGTGGATAACTGGCGAAATGGTCTAAAAGTCCGTCTACTGCTTAGACGCACAGTAAGTCCTGATTATTCTTATCCCTGTTGATAAAACTTGAAACCATGTCCTAAAAGCAGCTTAGTTTCCAACTTGTCATTTATAGTGAAAGAAGAATGAACTTTAATGAATGCTTAATCAGACGTGTTTTAACTTTCATATTTAGCTTTTATATCAGCTTAGTTTCTATTAAGGAAGATCGTTACAATCAATATTCTGAGCATTCAGGTTGCTACGGTCCATTATTGAATTCCAAGTAAGCTTGAGTTCTCTTACTCATGACTGTTAAGTGTCCCACATTGGTTGAGGGAGTTGGCTGCTGTCTTCTTATATGGTTTGCGCAATCATCACCTCATGAGTTTGGTCTAAGGTCCATTTCCTTTATCCTTTACATGGTAGAAGATCCAAACTCATTCCTATTTCTTGATTTACCCAATGTTGGACCTCGATGCTATATTGTCACACATTGGTTGAGGGAATGGGTTGTTGCCTCCTTTATGGTCTTGGACAATCCTCACCTCATGGCTTAACTTTTGGGGTTAAGTTAGGCACCAGATCCATTTTCTTTACACTGAGGTTACAGGGCTTAACTCCCTTTTCATGAGGGTACAAGGTTTAGTTTATGGATAGATGCATTTAGGATAACTGAAGAGTTCCATGACTCACAAAAAGATAGAGCATCTGGCTCCACTTATAGGAAGATTCAAAGGGAGCCCTTTTTCTTAACATAAAATGTGTTGGTATTCTTCAGTACTTATGCATTTTGATTAAATCGTACAGGCTAAATCTGGTCAAGCCCAAGAGAAGAAGGTTGGTCATGAAAGTGGGCTCAACTTCAAGGAAGATGATGATTTTGCATCAGAATTAAATGAGAAACATGAAGAAGAATCTCCGTGCCATTTTGAGCAGTCAAATGATGTAGCAGTAAGTGTTGTTCGCATGTTTTTAATTAATATGGAGATATTTTTGCATACTTTCTTTTAGAAACTGCATCAGAAAAATCCTACAGATATAGGTCTCCTAAAAGACATGACACTTCTTTCAGGATGTAGTGAATGATTCTTCAGTTTATATTATTCGCAGTGTTGTCAAAAGCGCGCTTAAGCCCTGAAGCGAGGCTCAAAACATGTTGAGCGCTTCGCCTCGCTTTGGGGGCGCTTCAGTGTTGCATCAAGGCTCTAAGGCATACTTTCCTTGCCAATGCGTGTAATTTTGACAAGGCGACACTAAACAATTGATATTTTATTTTATCGTAATTTTTTTCAATTTATTCATGCTTATAATTATTGCTCTTGGACTGTATAAACATATTTTTACTTTTTCTCCACTTGCGCCTTTTTTTATTAATGCCCACGCTTTATTTGTGCTTTGCGCTTAAAACCCCAAAAGGCCTTAGAGCTTTTTTCCGTTTTTCGCCTTTGATAACACTGATTATTGGTGACTTCATTTAAAATTCACTTGGACAGGACAAGCATGGCAGCAATGGAAAGAGGAAAGGGCACAATCGTGGTCGGGGTAAGGTACAGGGACCAGGCCCAGGACAGACGCGGGTCCGGGGACGTGGACCTGCCCAGTTTCAACAAAACAATCGTGGAGGGCGTACAGGGGCTTCCACAACAAATTTGAATCGTGGAAGCAATGTGGCTAGTGGCCCCTCCAATACTAATGGTGTTAGTGTAGCAGGGCAGCCTGCAGTAGTTTGTGATCAGTCAGCAGGCAAGCAATCTTCTGTGCCTCGCATGCCGGATGGCACTAGGGGATTCTCCATGGGTCGAGGTAAACCGGTTGCTGTTAGAAATGAGTGACAACTTTCTAGCTTCGTGAAAAGGGGTCTGTTCATGCCAGCATTTCCCAAGTATAGAGGGGGCGATGTTCCTACTTTCTTTGCGGTATTGATTGCAGGGTTTTAAAGACTGCTGTCAATCCAGTGAAGATGATACATCGGTTGATTTAGCAGCAAAAGAGTCAAGACACAAGAAGTTATCTGTTATTTGATGTTAAACCAAAAAGGTTGTGCTGTGATTTTGTTTTGGAACACTGAACCTGAGATATTAACGTAAAGCTATACGAAATTGGCAAGATTTCTTCTGTTGAAGGTTTGTCTAACTCATATAGATTGGATAACATGCTGTGAATAAAAACGGAAGGAGGCCGTCTGTGTAGTGTACAGAAGGAGGGAGCATTAAAAAGTTGCAATTGTGAGGCACCAGTTACAAGGATAAATCACTGCGTTCCTTCTTTTATCAGTGAAAATTCCTTTTTCTTCCCTTCTTTTTGCGCAAAATACCTCTTTGAACTCTGGCAGTAATGAAACTCGTATATCTTAGACATGGAGTCGTAAATTAGCATTATCATATGTTACTTCCATCACACGAGTACTAATTCGATTAAAGTTAAAACTTCTGTCAGAAACCTTGAAGAGTTAATAGAAAAATGTTCTCCAAATATATGTTTTACGTAAGACATAAATTAGAATAATCTTCGTAAACTCTAGAACCCCATTCTGATTTCCATTTTCTTGTGATGATCCGAGCAGCCATGTGATATAAAACTTGAAGTGATTCTCGTTGGACAAAATCTGTCATTTTCACTTGCTTAAACACTACAAATCTGACGTAGCATCTGATCCCATTCTTGTCTTTGTAATGAATCGGACATCTAAATGTGATGATCCGATAGGTCATCTATAGTTTTACCTTTCATTTCTGTACAATGAGACCTCGAATAAATCCGTTTAGCTTTTCTCGATTCGTGTGCGCAATCCGTGTCCTTTTTTCAGAAGGTTTTTATGAAAAAATTAAGAAAAATGTGAAATCGTGCTTTAAAACTCATTTGAGTCGACTTCGGTCAACGTTTTGAGCAAACAGACTCGGATAAGTGTTTTGACGGTCCTGGTGGGTCCGTATCATGATTTGGGACTCAGGCGTTTGCCCTGAATCGAATTCAGAAGTCCCTAATTTGATTTATCGTAATTTGTTAAAAATTAGAAGTTTAAAGGTTTAAAAAATTCATAAATTTGACCGTAGTTTGACTTTGTTGCTACCGGGTTCGAATTTCAGTTCCGGAACTTGGTATAGGTTTGTTTCAGTATTTATGACTTGTCTGCAAAATTTGGTGCAAAACGGAGTTGATTTGACGTGATTCGGACGTCCGGTTGAGAAATTGCATGTTCTTAAGTTTCATTGAGAATTTCATTAGTTTTGGTATCCGATTCATAGTTCTAAGTGTCATTTTGGTGTTTTGATCACGCGAGTGAGTTCGTATGATATTACTACACTTGTGTGCATGTTTGGTTTGGAGCTCGAGGGGCTCAGGTGAGTTTCGGATAGGCTATGGAGTGGTTTTGGACTTAGAAGAATAGCTGATGCATTTCTGTTTCTGGTGTTGTCTGCAGATCTGGCATTTGCGAGGTCTGGCTCGCAAATGCGAGCCTCGCTTTTGCGAACAATGTGTCGCATTTGCGAGCCTGGGCTGGGTTGGGGAGAGTTCGCATTTGCGAGAAATTCTTCGCATTTGCGGACTCTGCATCTTCGCAATTGCGAAGGTTTTGGTCGCAATTGCGACCGCTGTTCACTTGGTGCTTCTTCGCATTTGCGAAGTATAGTTCACATTTGCGAACTGCTTTGGTTCGCATTAGCGACAAAATGGTCGCATTTGCGATGACAACAGGCTCAGTGGCTTCTTCGCATTTGCGAGGGGTTGGTCGCTTTTGCGATCATCGCAATTGCGAACTTTGTATCGCAATTGCGATAACTGCAGCTGGGTAAAAGAGGGAAAATGCGGGATTTAGCTCATTTCTTTGAAACTCTCAACCCTAAATACCCTAGAGGAGATTTTCCCAAGAGGCTTTCTTCCTAAATTCATTGGTAAGTGACTTCAATCTACTTCTTTTCAATTACCCGTTACATTTCATAAGATTTCAACATCAAATCTAGAATTTTCATGGTAGAAATTAAGGATTTGGGTAGAATTATGGATTTTTGTAAAACTGGAATTTAGACCTCGAATTGAGGTCGGATTTCGAATTGAATTGCATAACCAGGCTCGGGGGTGAATGGGTGATCGGGTTTTGGTCCGAACTTCGGGTTTTGACCAAGCGGGCCCGGGGTTGACTTTTTCTAACTTTTTCAATAATGATCTAAATTGAACCTCTTTCATTCGTGGGTAGTTTCTAAGGCTTATTTTGAATCGTTTGGTTAATAATTTACTAGATTTGGTTGGTTTGGAGGCTTGTTCGAAAGGCAAGGATGTGGTTGAAATTTGAGTTGATTGCGGAGTGAGGTAAGTGTTGGGTCTAACCTTGATTTGAGAGAATTAGGAACCCTTGAGCTACGTGCTATGTGAATTACATGTGTAGCAGCATATATGCGAGGTGACGAGTGTATATACACCGTCAAATTACTTGTTTCCATGCTTTCCCCGTATTTCATTAATTACTTGTTTCCATGACTTAACCGTTACATTACTTATTTTCCCTATTTTCATTGCTTAATATTATGTCTTGTCTTTATGCCTTAATTGCCACATACTTATTTTGACTCCCATGCCATAATTTCTACTTGCCATTTAGCATTTCGTGTATTAAAATGTCCATCCCCTCCCCGATTCCATACTTATTTACTACTTGTCTCGATTTGTTTCCCTCATATATCTAAATTGTCTTATACCTTGTTGCCTTATAGTTTCGTAATAATTGTTGTCTTCATTGAAGTAGTTTCACTTGTATGTATTGTTAAAAGTAGATAACGTTGAGTTGGCAAAGTTGAGACATCCGAGTAGTTCGAGCCTATTGATTATCATGTTATTCTCCACTGCTCGTACAATTGTTCTCTTGATGTATGATTTCTTGTAAATGTTAGTTATTGAGTTACTATTGTTAATTGACATTATTTGGGGAGCGGGTTGTACGTTGCAACGGAAATTGAAAAGAAATGAATTGAAAAGGCGGAATAAGGATAGACTATGATATCGATAAATGATTATAGGAAGGGGTCGGGTTGCGTGTCATAACAGATTTGTTTAAAATTTATATTGTGGGATCGGGTTGCACGCCGCAACATGTTGATGAAAGTTATATTTGTTGTGATTGTTGAATTGACCTTGGTTGTTGAGATGAGTTATATGACTGGTTATTCGGGACTCTCTGCTGGTTGATTTGAGTTCCATTGACATGAGTTACCTGCTTTACTTCTATTCAGGTCTTTCTGTTGTTATTATTATTATTGCATACAGGTTAATGTAAGTGACCTGCCTTAGCCTCGTCACTACTTCGTCGAGGTTAGGCTCGGCACTTACAGAGTACATGGGGTCGGTTGTACTCACACTACACTCTGTACTTCTTGTGTAGATACCAGAGTTGGTCCCAACAGCGTATCATAGACTTTCTCCGATCCGGCTACCCAGAGAAGACTTGAGATATAACTGTACTGCGTCCGCAGCTCTAAAGTCCCCTTCTACTTCTTTTAGCTATTCATTTGATTCAGACAATTATGTTTATTTCAGACCATTATTTGTAGTATCTTAGACGATCATGTATTCGTGACACCAGATCCGGGGTTGTATTTGAATTTCATCAGTTATTAGCTTATTTATCTTGTTTCAGACTAAGGGTGGCAAGTGGGCGGGCCGGAAATGGGCCGGGCCCGCGGGCTAAGTGGGCTAAACGGGCTAGGACCGTTAGACCCGCTAGAGGTGGGCTCGTGGGCAGGTTCTTAGCTAGGAACCGTTAGGACCGGGCCCGTTTGGCCCGCAAGAGACCGGGACCGGACCGGTCCCTTGGCGGGCCAAACGGACCCAACGAATATTTTTTTTTTAAAAAAAGAGCCGTTTGGCTTTTGAAAAAAAGAGCTGTTGGGGGTTTAAAAAATAGCCGTTGGCTATTTTAAAAATAGTCATTTAACCCCCATAACTTAGTTTTAACCCCAAACTTTTTATTATTACACCTTTTTCCTATTTTCTACTATAAATACCCCCTCATTCTTTCATTTTCTTACAAAATCAATATCAATCTATCAAAATCTCTCTCTAATTTTCTTCTATACTTGCTATAATTGTTTACTTTATCAAAAAAAATAGTAAACAAATTGTGAGGTTGCTACTATTACTTACTTTATTCCAATAAATAGTAAAAAAATATTGAAGTTATTACAATTTGTGAAAAAATTATGAAGTTGGTGAATTGAAGTCTTCAAGTCTTCAACGATAATCAATTTTCAATAAGTTGTTCGTCAATTCGGTAAACTCGTTCCGACTCTTAAGTCTTAATATTATAGTTTTGTTTGTTTTATTTATTTGCTATTACTTGATTAATTAAGATGTACTCCTTAAGAAATATTTTTGGTAAAAATAAGAATAAGGGAAAATCCAAGACTGGCGAATCTAGTGGTACTGTTGTTCCTCCTCCCCTGCCCAGGCTCCCCGAACCAAACCCTATATCTGTCCTACACCTGCTATTCTTGCACCCGATGAACATTTAGACCATAAATTAATGAATGCTCTCTATTCTAATAATTATAATACTATTAATGAAAATGATGATGAGGAAATTGATCTTGATGAAACTCAACCAGACGATGATACACCCACTAGTCCTGCTCCTGATGTTGACCCAACTAGTGATAACCCTGCTAATCCAAATGATGACCCATCTGATACTCCCGTTACTGGTGGTATTAGCACCTTGTTGTGCTCATTCCATAGGGGGAAGGAAGACTAAGAAAGATATTGTCATGTTTTTTATTATTATAATAAAATTACAAGGCATTGCTTTGAATATCTTTTTATAATATTTTTGTCTTTAAATTTGAATTAACAAATTAGGTCACAATTCTATAATAAATTTACAAGGCATTGCCTTAGATATTTTTTTAATATTTTTTTTCTCTCTAATTTCTATTTAATTTTTTAAAAACAATTACTGCTTAGCCGTTGGGACCGCGGGCCCGAACTGTTTAGCCCGGGACCATGAGTTTGTGGGCCCGGTCCTTGGCCGGTTCCTACAAAAAGCACATTTAGCCCGTTTATTTAAGGCACGGGACTGGCCCGGGACCGCGGCCCAGAAGACCAGCCCGTTAGGCCAGTTTAGGGCCCGACCCA